CCTTCGATTCGATTCGATATCGATCGGTTTCGATTCCGATTTGGACTTCTGTTTCTCAGTGGAGGCCTTACTGGCCTGCCGATTTCCGCAGATCCGGCTGCTCCCGACCCGGCCGCCGATCTCCGCCGATCCGGCTCACGCCGAGCGCCCATCCGACTCACCGATCCGCTTCTGGGCCCTCCCATGCCCCCTGTGGACGCCCCCTCCGCCGGCCCGCTCGCCCAGGCGCGGCCCAGGGCCCGCTCCGGCGCCGAGCCCGGCGGAGGCCCCAGCCCCCCAGCGCGCGCCGCATGGGCGCGCGCCGCGCCCGCGGGGCAGCACCGGGGCAGCGCCGGGGGCAGCAGGCCCGCCGCCCGCGCGGGCGCGCGCAGGCGCGTGCTGCCGGGGGGCCCCGCCTCCCGAGGGCGCCCGGTTCGGCCCTCGTGGTCGTGGTCGCCTTCGTCGTGATCGTGGTCGTGGTCGTTGTCGTCGTGGTGGTGGTGGTGGTGGCTCTCGTCGTCATCGTCGCCACCGTGTAGAAGACATGCTGCAGTATACGTATGTGAAGCACGATTTGTAGAAGACATACTGCAGTATACACCTTCGTCATCCGCGCCGTCCCGCTGAGCACAGTAAGTGGGGGTTGAGAGCCATGCGAACTTGTGGGAGCCCTGTGAAGGCATGAGTAGGTTAGCTCCTTGGCATCAGCATTCGTGTTGCTGCATTGCGTTGGCTTGCATGGCGAGGCACATTTGCATCCTACGCGGGTGCCTTGCAGTGTCTGTAGATTGAAGGCCGCGTGCACCCGAAAAACATTCGCGGCGCACCGGCCAGTCGAGACGGAAATGTCGCCACAATTGTGTACTAATCTCCAGTGCCAATAAAATCAGCCACAAATTCGCACGCATACTCCATTGGAGAGCCCAGGGACAAAGATCTCATTCCCCGGTTCTGGTGGCTCGCATGGCTACGTGCTGAGCTCACCTGGTGGCTCGCATGGCTACGTGCTGAGCTCACCGTAATCCTAGTTGATACTGTTTTTCACTTCCTTTCAGAATGCTACGGCGCCAGGGCGTTCACTCAATGTTTGCCCCGCCGCCTTTTGGCTGAAGTGTAAGTTTCTGCGTACCTGCCGGCAGGAACCCATCCACCACATTGGAAAAAACGTCGACGGACATCACGGGGCAAGAAACATACCCGTTCGAGATCAACGCTCACGCAAATAGCGCGGACTATAGAAGGCGAAAGCTAAAGGAAATCCATCGACACGAGGTTCAATACACAAGTTGATAGCCTTGAGCTTGCCGAGAGCGCCGAGAGCCAGGACAGCAATGATCTCGATTGCCAATGTGACGCTGCGGAGGTCGACCACGACCCCGCCGCTGGGAGCTCCGACGGCCGACAGAGGCGAGGAAGCGGAAGCGGCGATCCCGATTCGGGATCGCACGAGGTCGCCGCGGGAAGTTCCGGCGGCCCCGGTGACGCAATCGCAGATGCCCATGGCCAGCGAGAATTCCCTTGGGGATCTCACGGCTGGGCCTTTCATGATCATGGGCGAGGCTCAGCACAGCAGAGCGGAGGAGTGGCCGCAGGGCCGTTTTGAGGAAGAAGAGCTGGCCTGGGCCGCGAAGTACGACATGGCTGTCGCAGATTCTCGCACTCAGTACGACGAGAGGTACACCGAGGAGTTGCGATTACAGCAGTTCCGGCAGACCGAAACCGAGCAACGACTGGAGCAAGACGCCAGCGCTTGGCGGGAGGAGGTGCGGCATGAAAATGCGAATTAGGCGCAGTGAGGAGCGAGATGCATAGGTAGTTGTGGCCCTCGCGCAGCGGCAGGATAGCCTGGTCGCTATGAGCCAGCGCGCACACGAACTCGACTACGAGGCGCTGGTGGCTGAGTCTTCCGATGCCTGTAAGTCGGAGTACCGCGAACTCCATCGACAGGCCTCCGCGTGGGAGCAGCAGTACATGCAGAGTTTCGAGGGCAACGCTCGGGTAGCCGTGGCCCGCCTGTTCAGGGAGGAAGAAGCCGTGGCGAACAGGAGCGTCGTGGCAGCTACATCGCAATACTCCGCGCAGTCTCGAGAGGGCCGTGCAAACCAGGAGCGGGCCATGAGGCGAGTGCACGAGGTAACGCATCGATAACATGAGGAGTACGCTTCACGGTTGGAGGCTGCAGCTGTGCTGGCCGATCAGAATGAGCACGTCTGGCACACCTCCGAAGCGCAACTGCAGCAAGAGTTGGCGCTTGTGCAAAACGAGCACGACGACTGCAGGCAACAAGCACGACAAACACGACACGAACAAGCACACATAGTCCAAGCAGAAGCTGAATGCATCTGCAAATACGAGCGCCACCGGATCGAGACCATCGACGTGGCGAACGCTTGGGTGCAGGAGCTGGCGGACGAGGAGACAGCCGGGAAGCGGGCTTACCGCGCAGAGTATCGAGACGAAGTCTCCGAGTTGCGCGGAGAGTTTCGCGACGGTCAGGCGGAAAACCAAGTGTTGAGGAGGACGCCGACGACAGTGCTGACGACGCTGAGAACCTCACCTAGGACAGCCCCGCCCTCCGCGGCAGCACGTTCGGCGTCGTCCCACGCTCATCTTCCATATCCTCATGGTGGCACTGCTTTGGCGGCTTCTAGGGCCCGCGTCTGGAGTGGGTGTCCGAATGGATTCGCTTCCTACCACGCCGCTGGCACCGCCAGTGGCAATCGGATTTCCGCGCAGGGATTGGTTTGATTTCGGGCCGCCCACGGCTGCACCTGCGGCGCCGCGCGTCGGAACTTCGTTGCAGAGGCCGCCTGCAGCGCGGATTTTCGACATGGCTGCGACTGGCGCGTCGGCGCCGGAGTCGGAGAGGGAATGCTATCGCAGGCGCCGCGCTGCGGTGCAGGTGTTCGAGATTCCTTTTTTAGCTTCGGCCAGGGGTTTTTGACGATGGATGGCTACCCTGGAGTCCAAATTTTGCGCCGTATCGAATCGTAGCAAGGTGGGGGGCCCGAGATTTCTGCACCGCGCCGCGGCCGCGATGTCCACGGATGAGCTCGAGACCGCATCAAAACTGCGGGGCGATTTAGATGCCGAGTTAGGCGTAGTATTGAACAAGGTAGCCTCAGGATCCATAGAGAGGGAGATGCTTGTGCATAAGGGGGGCTGTCAGCACTCAGGCAAAATGGCCACCGGATTAGCGCGCCTGTATCGTGCTTAGGCGTTGCGAGGTTGAGAGGAGCCAGGCATCGCAGATCGACGCGACGACGCGTCTCGCTCACAAGTACCATGGGCATTGGGAAGACTACTCAGACGGGTTCGACGGCAAGCTGTCCATGCTGACAGAGGAGCCCGACCTTGACTTCTGAACCTCCGTCGTGGAGCCCGAGCTGCGGAAGGTGGCCTCCCTGGTGCCCGAGTTCGTACGTGCGACAGAGCCCCCGTTGGGCCCAGCGAGAAGTCGTCGGGGTACCGGCGCGAATTTGCCCGGCAGTGCGTCGAGCGGAGCCGCCAGTTGAAGGCGCGCGAGGACTTCGAGCTGCAGGACAAGAGCGAGAAGGTCGCCGCGGCCAAGACCAGGGCCGAGACGAAGGCGCAGAGCGAGTCGGCCATTGTGACGAAGACCCTGCCCGAGTCCAAGGGCAAAAGTACATGTGCGTACAAGGGCAAGGGCATAGCCGCCGACGGTGACAAATGGCCGCGCTTCATCTGGGCGAAGGACGGGAAGTGCGGCATTGGGGCCGACATGCAAGTTCGTCCGCGCGAAGGGAGGCGAGTACGCCCCCGCGATGCAGCGCCCCGCCAGGACGGACTTGAGCAAGGTGGGCGGCCCCAGCGATTGCCGCTTCTTCGCGAAGCCAGAGGGCTGATGTTTGGCCGATGAGGCGCGCGAGCAAGCCACAGGAAGCCCAGGCCAATACAGAGGCCAATGCCATGATCTGCACGATGCCGCTTGAGATCATGAGCGACCTCCCCGAGGACATCGAGTGGATCTCGGACGCCGTCGCCGGCGTCGACGTGGCCGGCAGCGCGTTGCCGGGCAAGACAGTCGACGTGGACGACGTGCCAGAATTGGCCACTGACCGCCGCTGGCGCGTTCAAGCCGCAGCAGGAGACGACCGCGCGCATCAGCGGGCAGGGGGGGGGGGGGGGCGCGCGGATATTCCGGCTGCCGCCAGACGCACCCGACGCACTGTCGATGGGGCGTCGTTGCGCCAAGGAGGGCTAAGAATTCTGGTGGCGCCCATGTGCCGAGGCCTCTATCGCGCGGAGGCCTGACTGCACCCCCGCGGACGTCCAGGCGGAGATCCGGGCGCCGTCCTTCCGTGCCAAAACCATTCAGAAGGTGATGGTTGGATAGCAGGGGGCCGGGTCAGATGGCCCACTCATGGGCGGCCAGACCCAGGGCTCGTCTCCCTCATGCGACGTGTTGTCCGTGGACCAGTATGTGTATACCCCCAGAGGCGATTGCCCGACTCCGGAGGCCACGCCTGGCGGCGGCGAGGTAGCAGACGAGGGAGTTGTTGATTTTGCCCCAGTGACGCGCGCCATCGAGGGGGAGTTGTCGGAGGTTGGGGGCGCGCCCGAGCCCGTGCAGGGAAACGGCTCCATTGCCGATGTTGTCCGGGCTCTGGAAGGGGGTTCCGCGGGCCACGACGCCTTCGCCCCAGGCGACGCAGCGGACTTGGAGCGATTCGAACTGGGGCCTTCTTCCGACGAGCTCATTGTGCCCACTCGCAAGACGTCGCCTTCGTCCGCGCACCATCGCGCACAACATCTTCCCGGCGATCTCAAGCGCTGCCGGGCCTGCAGGTTCGAGGAGGCGACGAAGGCGTTTTCGCGGCGAAGGGGGGCTCTTGGAACGACGTGCACGGGCGAGCACGCGGACGAACGTCCTTTCGGAGCTTGTCTTCACCTCGACCATCAGCTCATGAAACTCGGCTCGGAGGCAGCATGGTCTGCGAAGTTGGCGTTGTCGCTCTTGGACGAGAAGATGACGCCCACGAACGCGGCACCGGGCTGACATGCTTGATCAAGCATTCAAGTTTGAGGGTGTCGACCCGGGACAGCAAGCCCGCAGGTGGTGGACAGACAGCGCGCCGGAGTTTGGAGCGGCTTCGAGGGCCACCAGAACCCAGAGGCCGTTGGCGCAGTTCACCAGCGTGCCACATCGGCCACAGTCGAAAGGCATCATCGCAAGGTCCAACCGCAGGATGACTGAATCGGCCAATGCTGCAATTTTCGCAGCGAGTGCCGATGCTACGTGGTGGGTCTGCGCCGTCGTCTTCTGGGTCGCCATGCGCAGCGTCCTCGCGGTGGGCCCCGATGGCCGGACAGCTAGGGGGCGTCGATTTGGAGAGCCGGCGCCATTCCAGCTATATCCATGGGGCGCGGTTGTCTCAGCGAAGCCCCTGGAGGCCTTGCAGAGCTCCGCGGGCAAGTTCACGCCTGAGATGACGCCCCACTGTTTGGTTTTCATCGGCATCGGGCCTGCCTGCGCCGATGCCGGACAAGGACTGTGGACGAGTTCGAGCGACGCGCCAAAGAGAAGCTCATAAGTGGCAGATATGACAGAGCAATTTTTGAATGGTGCGGCGAGCTGAGCTAAACCGCCGGGGGGCGCAGCTCGGCGATAATTTCGACTGCGCCAGAAAATCTGCGGTTGAGGCCCTGATTTCCATCATGAGGACAGCCGCCCGTATGCGCGTGAGTGCACATGCCTTGGTGTCGAGCGCCCCGGGGAGATTTTTGGCCGCGGCCGTCGGTCTCGCGAGGCATGCAGCTGCAGTGGGTGGATGCGTGCATCGGGAGTGGCCCAAGTGCATGGAGTTGAGGAAGAGACGGGGCGCGCAGACGCCGCTGGAGCCCGTCGGCGCGCTGGTCGGGGAGGGCAGCGCGGAGGCGGCGGGGGCGTCGTCAGAATCCCAGGGGGGGGCGTAGGATCATTTTCGACAATTACACTGCACATGGAGATTTCCGTGCTGCGTTGCAGCAGGGGTCCGGCGAGAGCCACGTGCCGGCTAGGGCGCTCTGGAACAGCATCGCGCCAAGACGTCGCGCGGTCAGAGCTGCTGCTCTTCATCGCGCTCACGCGCAGATGATCGTGGAGGAGCACGCGGAGGTCTGACCATCACTCGTGACCCTGCAGACCAGATTTAAGACCCCCGAGGGAAGATCCCCGCAGGCGATCGCAGCTTGAGATGAAGAGGTCGACGGGCGCCGACGCCGAGGCATTTGGGACGAGTCGACCGTCGCCGACTGCCAGGGCCTGATGCGCGACAGGCGACCGCTCCAAGAAGGAGATCATGCGCGGCCGCGTTTGTGGCAGCTTCGGGAACAAACATGACGAGTGCAGCGCGGAGGAGCAGGATATGAAGTTCCGCGTCGTGTTTCAGGGCAGCAACATCAGGATGAAAGCTTGTGCATCAGCGATCGATCTCTTTGTGGAGGTCAGCAACTCGCCAGCATCATTCGCAGCGATACGTTTTGACGTTTTGCCTTCAGCTGGCTGTGGCTGTCCGGGACGCGTTGCAGGCGTACGTGTTAGCGAAGATCCACGCTCGGGGACGAGTCGAGACGCGGGCAGAGCTTCCAGTTGATTCGTGGCCTAACGATTGGCACCGCGATGGGGCATCGCGACGACAGCCGATCTACGACAGACAGATGGTGCTGCTGATCCGCGCCCTGTGTGGGCATCCAGAGAGTGGGGCATTAGGGGGCGCTTTGCTCACTAAGGCGCTCACGGCGCGCTGGTGGCATGCTATTCCACAGTGGCTTGGAATATGGCGTCGTTCGGGTCTTTTTATTTTGGTGGTCTACGTCGACGACGCCACGTCATGTTCAGCGCCGGTGAATCCGAAGGTTCAATGGAAGAGCCTCGACGACGCCATCGAGTTCAAGGAGAAGCCAGCGCCGATCTCCCGCTTCATAGGAGCCCGCTACAGACTGACGCCGCGCGACGCCGGAAACCCGTTCGCAGGCAGGGCAATGGACGTCGACATGTCCAGCTACGCACGTGGAATGGCTTCGCGTTTCGCGGATGAGCGGCCTCAACTTGAAGGTCGTTCCTACCCCATTTCTGTTTGACGACCAGTGGGCTCGGGACGACGATGCTCCCGGCAGATTCGCGAAGACGTGCTTTACTCACGCGGCCGCAGCATTGTTCGCCAGTCGAGTGGCGAGGCCCGAGTTTTTAAATATCACGCAACTGTCGTTTTCGGAAGTCACGAGGTGGACAGTGGTGCACGACGCAACTCTTGCATGTTTGATGTCCTTTGCGGCGCACAATGTTGATCCGGTTTCAAGGGGGGCGTTGGCCCCAAGTGACCTTGATGATGTGATTTTGGCGCCTTGCTCGGGCGCTGATTGGTCGGGGGATCCTGCGACAACCAAAAGCGTGACGGGCTTTTGGGTTAGCCGCAGGTCAAGTCGTTCGGCAACTCGCGGCCGTTATCTAGGGGTTCCGCGTTGCAGGCTCCGATTGCTTCTGCTATGGCCGAGTCGGAGACCGCGGAGACCGCGGGCGCGAAGCGATTCCTATCCAGAGTTTCTTCGAGCACCTGCTCAACAGCAGGATCAGCATCAGGATGCCTATCAATAACTTGCAAGCGATCTCTGCCGTCAGGAAAGGATGCGCCCAGAAACCTTGTCATCTACAGCGTACCCAGAGGGTTTGCATTGGACTGACTGCCCAACGAGCGCCGGCGCGACGAGCTGCGGTTCATTGTCGAAAATTGCCCGGCGGACGTCATGAAGGGGGATTTGTTCGCGAAGGTCCTGAAACCCCCGAAGTGCGCCGAGGCGCTGCGCATGATGAACGTGGCCCAGCGCAGCTGATCCTGTCGCCATGCGTTCTCGGATGCCTCGGCGAGGAGGGCCAAGAAGACATGCTGCAGCATGCATATGTGAGGCACGATTGTAAAGACATGCTGCAGTATACACCTTCGTTAACCGCATGTGAAAAAAAAAACACCGTCGACGCACATCGCGGGGCAAGAAACATACCCATTCGAGATCAGCGCTCACGCAAATAGCGCGGGACTAAATGAGGCGAAAGCGAAAGGAAACCATCGAGACGAGGCTCAGTACACACCGCCCATCGTTGTCGGCGTCGACGCCGGTCGGCCCCTGACATCACAGAGTGCGCCAGTGCATGGTGGGCACCTCTGCGCCGTGGGCACCTCTGCATTACCATGGCGGACAAGATGCACTGCTCGTGGGCACATTGCGTGTTGTTCGCCTCGGCAATGTTGGCTTGCAGCCGTGGCCCAAAGTTATCCAATGGTACCCCGCGATCGACATCCCCGCGACGTGAAGCAATCACGACGCATGGCTTTTGATCATGTGTTGCCCCTGGGAGCCTTCGCCGTGCCCCAGGGTTGGCAAGAGAGGACTCCGGGTGAAAAAGTTGGCCCTTGGGAGCAGGTCGAGGGTCCAGCCCTCCAGGGGTCAGTTTTTGCTGCGTCGCGGTCGGTTGCGTTTGGTCGGCCTGGTTCGGTCGGTGGTTGTGTCGTTGATGTTGCGTCTTGTCTTCTCGGCGCCCCCCCGAACTGTCAACGCAATCTGGGACGACAGAACAATCCCCTGGTCCTGGAAATATATATTCCAGGGCTCTTTAGATCCAGCAGTTACCCATCGGTCGTTGAAAGTAGGTAGTTCTAGATTCTAAGATTCCAATCTACTTCAGGCGCCTTCCTACTTCAATCATCAAGTGGCTTCCCATTTCCTTTCCTCTTTAGACGGCGGGCGGCGACCTAATCTACTTTCAACACATTTGTGCTTCATGTTTCTACCAACCCCTTCCGACCGATGGGCAATCAGTCTTTGAAAAAGAATCGTCGGAGGTCTGGGTGCCGATCTCAAGGGTTCCCTCGGCCTCGAGGGCATGTTCCCAAGATTTCAATCTGGGCGTGCCAGTCTTCGGGACGGGGATGCGCTCGAGGCTGGCTACCAACCCCCCCGTACTGATGGGCGCCGCCCTGGAGGCGCCACGACAACGATCGACGTCGAGCAACGGGCGACGGTGGACGGCTTACGACGACGGCGGCGTTTCTGTTGGCTCCAGGCCCCTTGAGGCCCCCGACTCGCATGGAGGCCCCGGGCGGGCCAGTAGTGTCAAAGGGCGTGGCAGAGGCGTCGATCCTCGAGCCTCGAGCCGCTCGAGCCTCGATCGGCGGGACGGCGGCGGCGGCGTCTTCAGAACCGCACGGAGGTCTGAGAACCGGGCGCTTCGAGCCTCGAGCCACGATCGTCGGCGAGGGCGGCTGCGGCGGCGCTCTCGAGGGCCGCTGCGCGCAGGCCTGAGCGCCCGGGCACCGCGCAGCCGCGCCGCCAGACAGCCCCGATGCGCCGGAGCCCGAGTGCGGCTGGGCGGCAGTCCCCGGGGCTGAGGGCCGCGCAGTTCGGCGGCTCGAGGCGCCGCGCCGCCCCCTGCCGCTGGGGGCAGGCGGCCGCGGCCGCGGCGGCTGGGGCGACGGCGGGCGGCGGCAGACGACGTCCCTGGACGTCCCCTCCTTGGTGGAGAAGAGTCCTGTCTGGCCTCCCGGGCCCTGTCTGGCCTCCCGGGCCCTCGGTGGTCCCCCGGGGCCGACGGGAAACGGCCCAGGACGAGAGGCCAGGAAAAGGGGTCCAGGCCTCCGGGGAGCCACGCTGTGGAGAAACCTGCGCCGGAGGATGTTTGGGTTGCTGTTTGGAGGGGCGGCCGCGTTTGGCGGGGGCCGCTGGCGACGGCTGGCGGACGGCGGAGGACGGCAGGCGGCAGAAGGCGGCAGACGTTGGCACACAGCAGACGTTGGCACACGGCGGTCGGCGGCGGCGGAGACGAGAACGGTGGCGGTCGACGGCGGACGACGGCGGCGGCGCGGACGACGGCGGACGACGGCGGCGGAGGGCGGCGTGGACGAGGACCAGCGGGCGGCCCTAGCGGGCCCAGGGCGCCGCGACGATGGCGGACGACGACGTCGTCGAGGCGTGTCTGGGGGGTTCGCGTCGCCGCGGCCGGGTGCGACCCGAACAACTTGCCAAAATGCAGCCACTAGAGCGCTCCGAGAACCGGTTTGAACGGATTGTTACCGGACGACGATGCTGACATGGAATACGACGACGATGCTGACGACCACGACGAAGACGGCCATTGATTGTTGTCGGACGACGATGGTGACGACCACGGCGATGACGATGTCGACGTTGATGACCACGACCAAGACGGCGTGGGACTCCTGTATGTTGTGGTTGAGGGTGAGCGACGACGACCACCAGGTGTGTCTCGTTTGGCCGTGCATTGGCTTCCTTCGGAGGGGCGGGGGGGGGCGTTGCCGCGGTCAATGTCAGCCCCGAGATCTTGGGCGGAACGCGCTCTAGGGGAGGTCCAGGGGTAGCTTTTGCGGAGTGAGGCCGAAGATGACGACGCTGACGACAGCGAGTGCAGCAGCAGCAGCAGCAGCTGCACCCAGGGCGCCCATCAGATCCAGAACTCCCCCAAAGATTATCGATGCGATGGGGCCCCCAGGTGGATCAGCAACACGGCTCCTCCAGTGATGGGTCGGGTATATCCGAGTGGCACATTGTCTTGTTCGAGGCAACCATTCCGCTCCCGCGTAGAAGACCGCCAAAGGAAGGCCAATGGGTATCAATGCGTCCATGCTCGAATACATATGTTTTGATGGCCTCGGGGGTGGGGGGGGGCGATAGCGGGCCCCGGAGGTCGAAGCGAAAGAAAAACGCCGCTCAGAGGTCAGGATCATGGGCAATATTTATGTACATACCCACTGCGTCTCGCTCGGACCCCTCCATAGAAACCCGGGACGAAACCCGGGACGCAGTGGGTATGGATAAACATTTTGCCTCTGATCTTGCCCGCATGGAGACACCAGCCGGCCGGCCGGCCTGGCGGGGGGTTGCCCCCAGCGCTGTTGCGACATTTTCCGCGCCCGCCGCGAGCGTCGGTGACAACAGAGGGTGTGGTTGCGCCAGGGTTTGGTTTGCGATTTGTGACGTTGGGGTTTGGGAGGCACCACGTTGCATTCGTCGAGCCTCCTCGGATCGCGGCGGAGAACCCTGTCGAGGTCCCCGCCCGCTTCCCAGTCACGCAGTGGCGAAACGTCCTGGCTTGCCTATAGGCCCACCAAAGAATGTTCTAAGAACCTTTTGTGGCTTGCAAGAAATCATCTTGAAACATTCCTGGCTGAGAGCGTCTTGTTTCAACACGTCGGCTTTATGTTCTAATAACACGGTTTTGGTTATGAGATCATCTCTTTCTTCTATTTGTCGACCGGCGGCGACCCGCCGCGGGCGTTCAAGGTTGAACGCTGCCAGTGGCCAAGAATCGGCCTACATGGAACGATCGAGCGATAGAAAAGCCGCCGATCGTTCAAGGTTGATCGATCCACGCGGTGCCAGACACCAACGCCAGGCTCGTCACGACACGAACTTGCTGAGAAGGAATGCCAAAAAGAATGCCGGGACGGTCGGCCCCTGTTCAACCCGGGGTGCGGATGGCAAACCGCAGGCTTTGCAAGCCACACCCTCCGGAGTCGCCGAGAGAGGCTCTGCGGAGGGCTGGGCGCCGGCCCTCGGCTGCTGGAGCGGAAGATCTCCGCGGACGAGCTGCTGGCCAAGGGGCCCGTGGGCGGCCGCGGCGGGCCCCAGGACGCCGCAGCGACAGCGATGGGGGCCGAAGGGGGGGGGCGGCGAGGGAGCAGGAGAAGGAAGAGCAATGAGCCAGGAAGAAGGACGGCGGAGGGCGACAATGAGCTGGGGGACAGCAGGGGGGCAGCAGGTGCGCCGCCGCCGCGGCCGAGGCCGCCATCACCGCCGCCGACTGCGAGAGCGACGACGACCCCAGGCTCGGCGGCGCGCAGGGGGGGAGGGGGGGCAGGGGAGAGGGGGAAGGCTTCTTTGAAGGAGGCTGCTTCTCAGAAGGCGCAGGCCCTGTCTAGGAATGTACAGAAGGCCGGCGCCTTGAAGCAGCCTCCTTCTAAGAAGCTTTCCCCCCTCCCCCTCCCCCCGCCCCCCCCTGCGCGCCGACAGAGGCCTTCTAGATGGGGTTTCCAGGCCTCTCACCCTGACACCCTCTCGTTGCGAAAAACACACGACGGGGTTTTGTTGCCAATTTTAACACTTCGCGTAGCAAGCCCATCCCAAAACGAGCACCAGGCGAGTTGCCCTGTTCAGGGATGTGTTGCAGGACGACGAAGACGAGGATACTGACGACTAGGACTACGACTATGACTACGACTACGCCGAATTGACGACGCTTACGACTACGAGGGGGATCCATCCAGGCAACCAATTAACCAAAGCAGCCACAGGCTCCCTTTGCGTTCGGTCAGTAGCGTCCGCGTTGTTGCGTGCGATTCACGATTTTTTCGTAGCTGTCTTGGTTGAGTGGTTGCTTGTCGTTGCCTGCGGTGCCTGGTGCGTGTCCATTGCCGTCGCCGACGATGACGACTGCAGGAGTAATTTAATATCAAGATGTTTGAGATTATTTGCACCGGGAGCGTCTCGGAGGAAGCCTCTTGGGGCTATCGCGGGCCCTCTTGGGGCCATCTTGAAGGCCTCTTGGGATTCTTTGCGCCCCTGTGGGGCTCGTTTGGGTCTTTCTTGCCTTAGAGGCCTTGGGGACAATTTTGGAGGCCGTCGATCCAGAGAGGTGGGGAAGTCCAGTACGGCCCCTCCCTCCGAGACCAAACATTTGCCTCTTGGGGCCCTCTTGGGGCAGCCTCTGGCCGGTCTTGTGCAATTTTGGAGCCATCTTGGGCCTTTTTGGGGGCCATCGTGAAGCCATCTTGAGGCCTCAAGCGAAAAGGCGAGAATGCAACCACACATTAAACAACACGTGGGTTCCGAAGGTTGTTTGGCCTACTGGGGGACTCCTTGGGAGGCTCGGAGGGCACTTGGGGCCGTCATTGGACGGTCTTGAGGTTTCTTGGAGGCATGTTGGAGGCTATCGTGTACCATCTTCGGATATTTGACCGATCTTGAAGGCCATCTTGGAGTCTCTGGGGCCCTCTTGAAGCTACCCTGGGCCAAAAGGACGATCTGACCCCTCGCAGGGGGAGGGTTCCAGGGGAGAGGGTAGGGGGAGGGGGAGGGGGTGGGGGACCGCATGGCCGATGCGTCAGCGATGCGGCTCGATGTGGATACCGATTGTCTCCGAGCCGACGGCGCCAGGGATCGCCGACGTCGCCGATGCTTCGGCGATGCGCTGGTGATGCGGTCCGATCTCCCGACCCCATCCACTTGGACCTTAAGTGGAAGGCCACCAGCCACGGCAAACGACGGGTGCCACCGACGGTTGCGACGACTCAAACAAGAAGTTGACACAAACAGCAATGATGTGTCGGAGGTCCGTGCGGATATCTAGGATCGGATTTGGACCCGCTGGCGGCGCCTCCTGCGCTTTCCGCGGCGCCCTCCGAGCGCCTTGGATGGGGTCTAAGTCCGCGCGGACCTCCGCAAGTTTATGCTTACAGTAGGTTCATGCGGCAATGGCGCGCCCGCGACACCGGCGAAGGCGTTCAAGGCTGCACCCCGCATGATAGAACGATGCGGAAACACCAAGGGGCAAAGTAACGCCACACGACCCGACGGAGTTCAACCTTGAACGATCGGGGCCGCGATCGGTTCAAGGAGGTTGAACGATCGACGCGGTGACAAACCTTTGCGCGCGCCGACGCCGCACGAACCCACCGTCTGCGCTTGTTTCCTAACGACGAGGACGAGCGACAACGGCGAGTGGCGACGACGAGGGCGAGGAAGACCCTGAGTGGATCTTGCCGGTCTCCTGTGCCGCTCTTGGCCTCCTGCGGAGCCACGGCTGGGCTCGCCACGAAAGCCTGGTCGAAACGCGCCCCTGGCGGGGGACCCAGACATCCTCCGTCGTGACTTTTCGCAACGCGGCTCCACATAGGTCTGGACCTTTTCCTGGGACCGGTGTTTCATCCTGACTCGCTTTTCGGCGTTCTTGGGGCCCAGCGAGGGCCTTGGGAGGCCAAACGCCTTCCGTGGTGTTTTCTTCATAACGGAAGGAAGATGTCAGTGTCCTCCTCCTCCCTAAGGCAGGAGGTGAGAACGACGACGACGAGGTTGACGAGGAGGACTACGAGGCTGGCGCCGACGACCGAAAGTGAGGGAGGCGCTGCGCCACGTCGCCGTCGCCGTCGTCGTCATCAACGTCAGGAGCAGCGATAGGGGGAGATTGGCTCAGGGGGGATGTATCGAGCCCCAATCGCCGATTCATCGCCGATAGGGGCCCGATAGCCCGCTCCGCCCAGGAGCGTGCGGATTTGCTTTCGGGGGCCTAGCGCAGATCTATCAGCCATGCATCTCCGATTCAAGCTCGATGTTCCACCCCTCTGAGCTGGCCCCTCCTGACGTTCTCCCTCACAGACAGGTCTAATCATTTCGCAAAGCAGTCAAGACCCCATACATGTGTTCGTCTGGGTATCTTAGGCTTCTTCGCTGCGCGCGCTGCGTGGTGGCTTCCCGCGGGCGCCGACAAGCTGCTGCCTCAGAGTGCTTTGGGTTGACCCCCAAAACAGCACCTCGCGCCCAGATGTTCGGGGCTTTGCTTTCGTGCGATGGCTTATTGCGGCCGCGTCCGCACTTCAGTGCAGGCGGCTTTTTTTTGTAGGGGGGAACGGCGACGGGCGTTTCTGCTCCGTTTCTGGGCCCAGTCTCCCGACCCTCACGGAACCATTTGGCCAAAGAAATTCCGTGTTAGAATAGGGTTTAGAAAGTTGGGCGTATTTTGTTATCTTGTGCAACGGATCTCCGACACAAGTTGTTTTTCAATCCCTTAGTTATGATTCGATCTACGCAATCTTGGACGATGTTTGGGTATGCGTCGTGGGATCTTTCATGCGTCAGATATGGAGTGTCTCTGGCGCTGCTAGATCTAAGCGTTCTCTGCGTGATTCATCTGGGGGGGGGGCACACCAAACGCACATCTTCCAGAGCGGGACTCCCCTTGATAGTTCAGGTATTATTGTCATTGCGGATCCGCTCTGTACGTTGTGCTCCGAAACGTGTGGGATTATTCAGAATATCTGCGAGGTCGTCTCTCTATAATGCAAGTTGCTGCAAGTTGCAGCCATTATTGTGCCCACTCAGGAGCTTCGCCACAAGCGCATACTGGCGACCAAGGTGGGGGCTGCGCATTCCTTCCTCTCGTGATCGGGCATCTTGTGTGCGATCGAGAACGCTGTTTTGTCGCGCACCATCTCCTCTTGTTCTCCACCCTCGGGTTCTCTTCTCCCCTCGCCCCCCCCTGTTCTTCCCTCTTCCATCTTCCCTCCCCTGTAGGGCAGTGCGTCTCTGCCCTGGCTCTGCGCGGGCGAGCGCTGCAAGACGGACAGCCCACGCTGTGCTGAGCCATGCGCCCAAGCGCGTAGGCGAAATCATAAAAACAGATGTGTAGCAACTGGCCCCCGGAAAGTCTTCGAATTCTGGCGTCGCTGAAAACATGGAGACGGCTGGCGATCCTCAGTGTGGGGGGCTTGTAGGGCCCCCCTGTCGTGCCCTGGCACACTCGACAACGACCTGGGATGAAACACAGGTGCTCTAGGTCTCTCAATGAGGGGGGGGGGTGGATCGCGTGGGGGTGTGGGAAACCGCTGTCCTTCGGGGGGCGTGGGGAGGTTGGGGAGCGAGAGGGGGTGAGTTTGGGGGCGCGTGGGGGAGTGGGCAAGGGGCGTCGGACAGGTTGGCACGGGGGGGTGCTTGTTGAAGGATTTGGGGTACCCTGGTTGGGGTCCAAATGCCCGGGGGCCCAAGGCACGAAACAAACGTGACGGCGCATGTCAGTGAGCGAGGACGACGACGACAACGACGACCGCGTCGACGACGATGACGACAACCACGACGACAACCACGACGACGACAACCACGACGACGACGACGACGACGATGACGACGACGACGACCTGGGAGCAGCCGTGGTTTCCTCACCCTGCAGCTTAGGTGCGACGTTGGTGCAGGCGCTCCTGTGGCCAGCTAGCCAGTCAAAGCAGATCCGTGCCATGAGTTGGCTGGGTAGATGGAATTTGCGATAGCCTGTGCCCCATGTTACGGTAGAGGGCAGCAACTAGTAGACACCTCCTCTCTTCCCAAAATTCAGAGTTGGCGTGCGCGGGGGAAGACTGCGGTCGAAGTGCAGTTCGACCAACCCACCGCCAACACTGATCATTGTGGGGCATTGACAGAGCGGCCGGCGGCCTCTGGCTGGGGCACCAGAGCGGCCCCCTCGAGAAAGAAGAGCCAGGCATTGTTCAGAGTAAGGCTTGTCCCCCCAGGCTCGAAAAATGTTTCATGCCCCCCCCTGGAAGAAAGATGAGCCCCAGAATCCGTCTGGGCTGCCGCCAGGTGGCAGGAGTGTTCGCTGATCTCTTCCGCGGCCTGTAGCACTCGCTGCGGTGACCGCCACTCAGGCCTCCTCCCTCGCCGTCTCCCTCTCCTTCAGAGCCCCCCCCCCCCAGGCGCCTCCGGAGGCCTCCGCGGAGGTTCCCGACTCGATTCGCGATTCCTTCGATTCCCGATTCCCTCGATTCACTCGACTCCCTCGATTCTCGATTCTCGACTACGGCCAACAGCTTACAGTAGCCTCGATTCTCGATCCCCTGGTGCGAGGCACAGGCGGAGGAGGCCCGTAGACTTCCTCGGTGTTGTCTTCCCTGTTGCCACGTCATTCGCTCCCCCCCTCCGTCCTCGTGTCCTCGTGCTCGTCGCTGGCGTCCTCCGACTACTGCCACCGCGTGGCGCCTCCACCGCCTGACCTGTCTCATACAATACGGAGGCTGAGATCTTCGGGGGGCAACCTGAAGGTGGGGATCGGCTCAGGGGGGGGGCGCATCGACCCCCGATCGCCCATTGATCGCCGATGGGGGCCCGATAGCCCATCTCTCCCAGAAGCGTGAGGATTCGCAATCGGGGACCTTTCGCCCATCCGATCTATCGGCGGTGTCCCCCCCCGAGCTGGTCCCACCTAACGTTGCCCCTCATGAGGTTCGGGTCGGGCGAAAGGGGGGGATAGCAAAGGGGGGGTTTGAGAATCAGCTCACGTAGCTGATTCTCCTGGCGCCTCTCGGCGCCGGAGGCGGCTATGTATCGAGGAATGGGCCCCTCGGTGAAGCCGAAACCAGCTGCATGCAGCAAATTTCGTAACCCCCCCTTTCCCAATCCCCCCCTTTCGCCCGGCCCGAGAGGTCTCGATTCCCCTGGACTTCCTCTCTTCTCCGTTCCCCCCCGTCTTCAGCGCGGCTTGCATGGAGGGCGCTCGAGCAGCGCGATAGCAGGGAGGCGCCGAGTCGACCCCAGACCGTAGGAGGCCCCCAACAATTAGTTGCTTTGTCAGGTACTCTTTGGTCAAAGATCGTGGCTAAAGAGTACAATCAGAGTACATGATCTTTGACTAAGATCTCTGAAAGCGAAAGATTAGTAGCCCGATCTTTGACCAATTGGTCAAAGATCGGGCTACTTGGGATCCTCGAAGGGCCAACAGGGCCCACTGAGATCTTACAAAGGGCACCTAGACGGCTCGGGACGGTCCCAAGAGAGACTGCAGCTGGCCCAAAAGAGTCCTTCCGGGCTGCTCACATGGGGCCCGAGTAATTCGTTGTTGGTCGGAGGGTCGCGCCGCATCGCCGATGCCATTGGCGATGCGGTGCGATCCTGCGACCCCATCCGCTCTGGCCTGTTTTGGGCGGCCTCCAGAGGAGGATGAGGATGAGGAGAGAGGAGGAGGCTGCGGGGTGTGCGCGGGATCTCGCCACCTCTCGTGGTGTTCAATTCTCTCCTCTTGTTTTTGATTCGTTGCTGCGCGGCGGCTCTGCGCTCCAGTGGCGTGGCGCGAAAGTGGGGGTATGTAGCATCCGGGTGGCTCGGAGGAGGCAGGATGAGGCAGAAGGGGGACCAGAGTAGACTCGAGATGCATCAACTATGCTGCAATACACCCTCCATCCCAAATTCCCACTCACGAGTCCCACGACGCAATTTCACTGCACCAACCACCCCCCCTGGGAGACCAGCACCCCGTGGGCCTGCCATTCAGGCGAGAACCCAGGCTGGAAAAAGGAATTGCCTTGCATCCTTCTGTGCAACGGGCTTGCCCCATTCCGCCGACCCCCAGGAGGGGCATGAAGCCCACGGGTGAGGCCTTTCGGGGCCCCCTTGGGGACCCTCCGGGGCCTCTTTTGGGCCCCTTGGGGGTCTCTTCGGAGTTTCTTGGGCGCCTGTTGGCGGTCTCAGGGGTCTTCTTAGGGCGGACGGCTCGGGATGGCAGTCAGAGTTACCTCTCTAGGGCCCTTCTTGGGACCGTGTTTGGCTGTCTTTGGGCCCTCTTGGAGGCTTCTTGGGTCGTCTTGGAACGATTTGGGGGGGGGGGGCGCCTTGAGCCATCCTGAACGCTGTTAATACCAAGCATGCGAATTTGCTCAGAACACGCGTTTTCGCTAAGACTGTTGACGATTCTTCTTGCCTCTTGGGGCCCTCTCGGGGTCGTCTTGGAGCCCTCTTGGGGCGCCTTTGAGGCCTCTTCCCCCCCCCCCCCCCTCTTTTCGGATTTCAGACCCCAGGGGAGCGGGAAAGGGGGAAAGGGACAGCCAATCATCTCACACGCCTTTGCACTCCCGACAAGCAGGGGTCGGCGGATCCTTCTAGCGGATACTACAGAATGCGAGCAGCCAGGCCATATTGCTAAACATCGTGTCCTACGATATTCTCGTTTTGAAAAAACAAAAAAAAACTATATGTGCAAAGGCGACGCAAGTTCACCATTATGGTCCAGGAGTCCTGAACGTCGATGAATTCCCAAGCGATATTGAAAACGCAACCGTGCTTCATCAGTGTAGATGGCACTTGTGCTTTAGTTATTGGCCATTGCGACTGAGAGCGCTTCATATGATAGCCCCAGTGTTATGACATCGAACGGTTTTCCATCCTTCTAGGTGTTGCAAGTTATTGGCACGAATGCGGGCGGCTTTCAGGCGAGAGCCCCGTCACTGTGAGTGTTGCAAGGTCTTGAAACGAATGTGCGCGGCGTTACGACCAGAGCCCCACCTTTAAAGCCACACGCCCTGCCACGGCGAGGGCTCTCTTTTGACAACGACCCACCTTCGCTGGTCATGCGATGAAGATTGGAATTTAAGGAAAGAGGATGGAGGGAGGCGGCAGATGAGGGAGTAGGAGTAAGAGGAGCTGTCAAGGAATTGTTAGATCAAATGGGTTACCCAGCAGTGCTGAGCCCACTGCCTGTGAGAACAAGCGTGCGACGCAGTGACCTAAGTCGAGTCCACTCTGCCACTACGGCGCGCTGGAAGAGCACGGCGCTGCGCCAGCCGTCTCAGGCCGAGCCCGCGCAGCGGCCACGGCGCGCAGGAGATGCACAACGCCGCAGCGCGCGGCACGCGCTGGTGAGTGGTCTTCGGACACCAGCTCTGCAGGCGCTGCTCGCGCTATCTTTGGCTCAGCTTCTGCACGCGTCAAACAGGGGCAACGACATGGGAGGATAGGCTCAGAAGGGGAAGCAACGACGCCCAATCGCCCGTTCGTCGCCGACAGGGGCCTGGGAGCCCGCCCCGCCCAGGAACGTGCGATTCGCTATTGGAGGCCCATCACCGATCTATTGGCGATGAATCGCCGACTCAAGGTCGACGTTTCCTTCCTTGAGCCGGTCCTTCCCATGCGGCCCCTCGGTCCATCCAGGTAGCGACCAGTTCCTTGACGGTCTCTGGCGCTACCCCGTGCGCTTCGAGACATGACTGCCACGCCGCGACCTCCTGCGAAACCAGGTCGGGGGCAGGAGGGAGGAGGATAATGGAGGGAGGGAGGCAAGAGCGAGGGAGGCGGGAGGAGGGATGGAGGAGGGAAGAGGGAGGCAGGGAGGGACCAGAGTGGCCGCCGCGCTCCCCCCCCCCTCCTTCAGGACCGGCTGCTCGACGCCAGCTTCTTCGCGGAGGCCGAGCCTGAGGACGCGCGCGCGTACCCCTCTGGGCCCTTGGCGCGGCGGGGCGGGGTTCGGCGGCCGGCGCAGAGGGAGGCCACCTTGGATCAGGGGCAACGTGAGGGGGGGGGGGATAGGCTCAGGGGGGAACGCATCGACCCCCCATAACCCATTCATCGCCGAGCCCGTCCCGCCCAGGAAAGACAGGATGCGATATCGTGGGGAGTATCGCCGATCTGGCGGCGATGTATCGCTGATTCCAGGTCGATGTTTCCCTCCCTGAGCCAGTGCTTTCAAATCGTTCCTCTTCTTTCTAGAGGGAAGAGAAAGCTGCGAGAGCTGCCGAGCGCCGCGGGGTGACGCGGATGACGGCGACTGCGCGGACGACAACGCCGACGCGTGACGACGACGGCGACGACGTACGACAACGGCGCGGGACGGCGGCGGTGGCGGAAGCGGCGACGACGACGACGCGGATGCGGGGCGGCGACGCGGAGCTCGTCGTCGCCGCTGCGACGTTTCGTGGTCGTCGCCGCCGTGCGGCAGGCGCTCTGCAGGGCCCTGGGCGAGGCGCAGGCGAGCCGCAGGGGAACCCCACGCGGGCGTCCCCGCCGAGGGGCCGCCGCCGTTTTTGTTGGTTTCCGCCGTCCTCCGCCGTCGTTGTCGCCACCGTCGTCGCCGTCGTCGTCGTCGTCGTCGGCGCGGCGGCGGCTGCATCGTCGCCGTCGCCGTCGCCGCCGCCGCCGCCGCCGCCGCCGCCGCTGCCATTGTCGTCGTTCTCATTGTTCCCGTCGTAGTCGCTGCCTGCGGATGGAAGGAGGGGAAGGAGGGGGAAGGGTGAGGAGAGGCTGAGAGGTAGGAGGAGCAGGAGCAGGAGCAGGAAAAGCAGGAAAAAGGAGAAGACGAATAGTAATACTGATCGTATTAATAAGAACAACAATAATACTACTCGGCATTGCGCTGCATGTCTGATGTCGCATGTCTGCTGCTGCTGCTGCTGATTGATAATCTACAACATAGCACCTCTGACAGTCGCACGATCGAAGGGAAACGCTCAAGGTCAGGGTAAGGCGCACCGTGCAGCCACGCAGTCGAGCGAGTGCGAGACCGATCGCAAAAATCGTGCAACCCGTTCGAGCGGGAGGCGGGAACCTCTCGGGCCCCACAGGGGCCGATGCCTCCAGGACTGCTTGCCCCAGGCTGGCCCCTGGAGCACCCGAGCACACCCGAACCAGGGCCCACACCCCAGCAGGCAAGCAACGACGACGAATGAGAACGACGGGGCGAGAGAAACGACCAACAAAGAGGAGGAAGACCGACGGAGGGGGAGAGGACAGCGCAGGAGAAAACAGGCAGACCGCACCGGAGGGGGGTGTAGGCCCGCACTGGCTACCCTCTCGAGTTGAGCAGGGGGAAGGGAAGACGGGGGCAGACGGGCGGAGCCTCGGAGTGGCGCGGGGCGGGCCTCACGGAGCTCAGGAGGTGGAAGGCGCCGTGGTGCAGGCGCAGGGAGAGGACGCGATGCCCCGCATCACAAGAGAGACGGCAGCCACTGGACGCCACCATCGGCATAGTCTCCCAGGCGCAGCACTGTAAGGAGTCAGATGCGAGCCCCGACGACCGGACAAGAAACACCAAGCGCGGCTGTACTCATTGGGGTTCCCGCGGGAACGTCGGGCAGGCACGCAGCTCTTCGGCACGAATCCGATCCCTCAGGGGCTCGTGTCTCACCTGCCACGGCCCTTTCCCTTCGGCTTCGAGCGGTCTAGGAGCTTCTGGCCCATCAGATAGAGATGTCCGACAGGTGCTGTCCCCAGCTTGAGGCGACCCCCCAGGTGGACCATGGCCTTGATCGGAGCCTGGTCGAGCAGCAACTTCGATATCTCCGTGCCCTCGATCTGGAACCGTCCGCAATTTGAATTGGATACGGCAGAAACTCTCGGTGCAACATTTCCGAACCCTGAAATGACGAACAACCAAGCCCATATCCTCCATCGTAGCTTTCAAGATGGACTTGTTGCAAACATCTGTGGTCATTGAAACGGTTTCAGCAGAGTCTTCACTTTCTCGTCGACCAGCAATGATCTGAACCTGGCTCGCGCGATGTACTTATGTGGAGGACCCAAATGTCGATTTCAACTCGTGAACTGCAGCCGCCTCTGCTTTTTCTTTGCCTGCGGCTTTGCATGCCACTGTCGGCATCTCCGCTGGGACCACCAAAGACAGCCACTCCGACGACGCCAGATCTCGAAGCTGTTGGGCGTGTTGGCACGCCAACTTCAGAAGAACATTCAACGCCTGCTGGATATCCTTTGCCTTCGAGGCTCCTTCCACTTTTGCCAACTCGTCGTCTGCCGCGTCTGCCATCTCGGCGAGCCGTCCTTTTTTGGCCTGCCCCTCTCCCTTTGCGGATGACGCGGCCATTGCCTTTGCCCCCTGCAGCACGCGGTCGAGGTCCATATCCATAGCGAAGTCGGCGCTTCACCAGCTGAGGGGGAGGACGACAACAGGGCGAGCGAATGTGCAGCTGGAGAGAATGGGGATCTTGAGCCTGGAAAGGACACGCCGGGCAGAACACCGAGAGCGGAACGGTAACCTCGACCAGCGTGTACGAATTCTTTCCAACTGCGCATCGATTTCGCTGGTGCGACTTCACGACGCGACGCCGTGCGTTCTCACGCGGGCCCAGGGCATGCAAGCAACGGGCGCGCTGATTTGCCACGGTCAATTAACTCGCCTCGTTCCTCGCGGCATGCGCCCTCCGCGCGCGCAACAGCAGCTGTTTCGCGGAACCGACGCGCCCACCGCGGATGCCACCATCGACGCCCGACAGGTTGCAACGAAAGCGGCCTCCACCTCCACCACCTCCCCATCAGTCGGCGCGACGATCGAAGGGAACACGAACTCGGGGGGGGGGGGGGGGCGGCGGACTTCGAGAACACCTGTGCTCTGAGAATCGAGGAATCGACATCCGTCGAGTGGGCGAACTCGCGATTGCATCAAAGCTTTAACAGCGGGTGGCCTTCGGGGAGCAACTCCCGGAACTCCTCCGGATTTTTGAACCCGAACTGGAGGTCCTCAAGTACTTGCGTGGCCGAGTGGTTTGCGTTCTCTGCTAGGGCCCAAGACGCCCGCAGATGCTGACCCTCGCTTGTCTGTGGGCCTCGGGATATTTGCACCAGCTCTGACACTTGCGTAGACGCCGCGCCTTACGCTCTTGCGCGCGCGGTAGGATTCGCCAATGCGCCCAAACACGCGCCGACGTTCAGCGACGAAGCTCTTGCCCCCCGTGCCCCCCGAGACCTGTTATGCTCAATCCTCGCAGCTCGTGGTAAAACGTGATCAGCTGCGCCGCAAATTCTTTTGTCGGAAATCCTCGCCTATATTCCAGAGAGAAGAGCGGACTGGACGAACGCGATCACTGCCATTCGCTCCGCGCTCAGGATGGCCGAGCGGCTCGGGAATAGAGAGATCTTGCCCGCCTGGATGCGTTTCGCCTTTTCCGCTTGCAGGGGCCCGCTCGCAGTGGGCCATCCTCCCAGCGCCGTCGTGAATCTCACCGGCCCCCCCCCCTGGATTCGATGGCCCCGCTGAAGATGCGACGACGTTGCCCAATAGAGCCAGGGCCGACAATCTCAACCAGGGAGACCCGCTTTCCAGGGTTCAAGGAGACCCCGATCTCTGCCAGGGAACGCTGCAAGTGCCCGTTGCTGACGCGAGCCAGGGCGAGGAGACGACGTGCCTCGCCGCCCATCCGCTGCGGAGTCGGACCAGGCCCAGGGATGACATGGGGTGATGTCATCCGCGAAGAGGGGGGGGCCCACGTCTGTGGGGCGCCGTTCGCTTCCGTGGCCGTCGTCATCGGGTTCGAGGTCGTGCGTTGACGAATCTCAGAGAACGGTTCCAAACCTCGTTGGTAGTAGGGGAAACCACGTGCAGCGCTGGGGTGGCCCATGAGGTCGCCCGTCGTCGGGCGGAGACTGATCTCTTCGCCTGGCGCAGAATGGCCCTCCCTACTGCCCCAGCCACCGCGCTGGACTCACCGGACACGCCGGCCACCGGGCACACCGGACATGCCGGACACACGGAATTCCCGGACTCACCGGACTCACCGTGCACACCGGACACACCGGACACACCGGACATACCGGAATCACCGGACCCACCGGACCCACCAGACTCGCCGGACTCACCGGGCTCGCAGGACTTTCTGGACTTCCGGACTCACCGGACTCCCGGATTGCCCGACGATTTCGATTGTATTGGTGATAGTGTTGGTATTGAGATAAGGATTTGGATGATGATGTTGAGTACGATGGTGCTTCGGATGCTGCAGCTGGCGGCGTTCACGATGATTATGTTGTGGTACTTTGCTTTTGAACGTTGATACTGATCAGGGTGATGGCGCTTATTATGGCAATGCGCCCTTTATTGAAGAAGTGGGGAGGATGACAACAAAATGAACGGTGCTGGTGAGGATGAGGAGAGGGAATCAGGTACAGGATAGCATGTTATGAGGACAATCGTAATGATCAGGGATCTGATGATCATAACGACGACGATGGTAATGATGATGATGATGGTGCTCGTGGTTGTCATGCCCATGACGATGATGATTACGACGACGTCCATGATGATGGGGCTGAAGAGTGCGCTTATGATGATGAGGATGGTTAGTACCATCGTGATGATGATTCCGTCGGCGGGGGACATGTTGATGGCGACCATTGTAACCACTTTGGTTGTGATGATGATGGTGGTGCTGATGTTGAGATGCCCGATTTGGATCATGACTATGATGATGAGTACGATGATGACCTGGATGCTGCAGATGTCGGCGTTCACGATAATGATGTTTCGGCTGGTTTGCTTTTGAACGCTGATGCTGATCAGGGTGATGGCCCTTGTTGTGGCAATGCGCTCGTTGTTGAGAAGTGATGAGGAGGACGACAGCATGAATGGTGTTGGCGAGGAGGAAGGCAGGGGAAAAAACCGATGATGCTTCATGATGAGGCATATGGTAATCATAACGACGA